GAGCGCCGGGCCGCCGCCGTGAGTCGGGGGGCACCGGGGCACCGGGGGCACCGGGAGCTGGGGGGGCAACGGGAACGTGGGGAGCATCAATATCATTGGGGGTACCGGGAGCATCGGGGCACCGGGGGCACCGGGGGCGTGGGGAGCACCAGGAGCATTGGGGGTACCAGGAGCATCGGGGCACTGGGAGCACTGGGGGGCACCAGGGGTGTGGGGAGCATCAATAGCATTGGGTGTACCGGGAGCATCGGGGCACTGGGATTACTGGGAGCACTGGGGGGCACCAGGGGCGTGGGGAGCATCAGGATCATCGGGGTCAGTATTGGGAGCACGGGGAGCACCAGGAACAGCTGGCACGCTGAGTACCAGGAGCAGCGGGGGCACCGGGGGGGCACCAGGGGCACTGGGAGCACTGGGGGCAGCAGAGGCAGCAGGGCCCCCAGGAGCAGTGGGGGCACCCCTGGCAGGCATCTCTGCCAACGCAGCCCCGCACTGGGGCACCCCCCGTGGGACAAACACGGGGGGCACCGGGGCACCCCCAATGGTCTCCTCCAGCAGCTTTGGGGTGCCCCAGTGAGGGCATCCCCACGGGTTTGGGGTGCCCACAGTGTCACCCCTTTACCCTGAGCCTGCCCAATCCCGGTGACCCCCGTGTGGGCTCTGTGTGCCCCCCACACCCCCTCAGTGTGTGCCCGGCCCCCCAAATCTGTACCCCTGCCCCAGAGCAGTGCACCCCACCTCCTGCCAGCCCGTGCCCGGCCTGGCTGCTGTCAACAGAAACGGGGGGACCGTCCACACCCTCCACGGGGACTCGGCCCCGCGCAGACCCAGCGTGGGGGGCACGCGGGGGGCTGCAGGCAGCTCTCCCTGCTTTGGGGTGCCAGCCCTGCCGCGGTCCTGGGCGGGGGCGGCGCTGCCCGGTGCCCCCCCGCTGGATGCGGGGGCCGCGTGGGGGTGTCCGGCCCCGCCACCGGGCTGAGCCCGGTGCCAGCTCCGCGCTCTCCTCCTCCTCCTCGCCGCAGGATGCTGTTCTCAACGCCTGTTACCGGGGCTGCCGGCTGTTCTCCATCTGTCACTTCGTGGATGCGAGCGCCGAGCTCAACACGACCAGAGCCGAGTGCGAGGCAGGTGAGAGGAGCCGCTGGCCGAGCGGCCCCCAAACGCCGTCCCGGGGGGATGCCCATCCCCAAACCCCACCGGGAGCAGCGCCACACCCGACACCCGACACCTCCAGAGCGTCCCGCCCCGCTCAGCCCCGCAGCCCCGGATCGACGTGCCCTGGGTGGCAGTGGGGAGGGGCACGGGGGTCGCAGGGACTGAGCACCCCCCAACGCTGACCCCTCCTCTCCCCCAGCCTGTGCTGAAGCCTATGGAAACGCAGAGGAGCAGTTTGGGTGCGTGACCGGGTGCCGCAAGCAGCTGCCCGAGGTGGAGGAGAGCAGGAAGGAGAAGGTGAAGGGAGATGGGGGAATCCTTCCTCGAATGGAGCTCAGCACGGTCCCCCCTTCCTTGGGATGGGGGACACCCCACATGTGCAACCCATCCATCCATCATCCATCCACCATCCATCCATCATCCATCCATCATCCATCCATCCATCCATCCATCCATCCATCCATCCATCCATCCATCCATCCCTCCACCCCTCCATCTGGATGGGATCTCCAGATGTGCCAGGCTGATCCAAGCCACCACTGGTTGCTTTGTCACAAATCTAAAGAGCAAATTAAGGGGGCTGGGCTTGGCTTGGGCCAGGCAGGGAGACCACGGGGAATTCCCGGGGGAGAGGATCTGACTGGGGATCGTGGCAGACTCCCCCAGTTTTGATTTGTTATCCTTCCCAGCAATCAGCAACGCTTTCCCCTCCTACATTTAATTAATTCACCTTTTGCCCAATTAATGAAATTAGACTTTGGCCCAAGGAAGAGGCTTTTGGCTCCGTGCACGTGCGGGCAAAGATGAATCCGCGCCATAAAAGAGTGAAAAGCTCCTTTGAACCCCCTCCTTTGCAGCCCGGTTTTAAGACCTTCCCAGGGCCTGATCCCACTCCCCAACCCCTCTCCAAGGCCAGGGATGAGCATCCGGGGGTGACTGGGGTGACAGGGAGGGCCCTCACCCCCTCCACCCACCCGAAGCATTTTTCCTCAGGTTCCCAGACGAGCAGGCAAAGCAGATTTAGCATAATAATTAGATACAGAATCTGACCTATTTATTTCCTGTTTGCTGGTTTGACCGTGCAAGGGGCTGTCGGAAAATGTTCGGAGCCAGTGGCAGGGAGCAGCCAAGCGGATTCCAGCAGGGATGCTTTAAAAATAACAAACTGCCGCGACGGCCAAGAATCCAGGGCACCGAGAGGCTGCCAGCAGAGGAACGCCCTCGGCACCGCGGCCGCTCCGCTCCATTGTCTCCGGCAGAGGAGCGTGATCCCGCCCCAAAGGGACGCTCCTGGGGCTGGGTGATGGCCCCAAAGCTGGGTGGTCACCCCAGGGATCACAGCCCCCGCTGGGTGACCCTCCTGGGAGTGGAGCACGGCCCTGGCACATCCCTTTCTGTGCCCGGGAGAAGCAGGTTGAGCCCAGACCTGAGCAGCCAGCTCAACCCAGCCACGACCTCAGGGTGGGATGTTCCCCACCAGGGGGGTGACGAGGGGACAGCGCTGAGCTGATGTCCCCGTTCCTTTGCAGAGCGTGGAGCTGAAAGCGCCGTCGTTTTCCATGTTGGATTTGGTCTCCACCTTCTGCAACGACATCGTCAGCTCTGCCCAGAGCTTCATCTCCTCCACCTGGACCTTCTACCTGCAGGCGGACGATGGCAAAGTCGTGGTGTTTCAGGTGGGGGTGTCGCCAGGACCCCCTCTGTGGGTGCCCAGAGGGGTGGGGACCCCTTTCCTCACTGCCTTCTCCCTCTCTCCCTGCCCATCCAGTCCCAGCCCGAGATGGAGTACCCAGCACCCGAGGTCCTGGAGATCCAGCCAGCGCAGCCGGGGTCGGGATCGGGACCCAGCCCTGCTGTCCCCCAGCCCCACACAGGTGCGGGGGGGTCTGGGCTGCTGGGAGGGGCTGGGAGCCTCCGAGCCCTCCTGGCTCCCTTCCGAGTCCTCCAGAGCTGAACAAATTTCCCATTCCTCGGGTCTGATCAGCTTCCCACACCCCCACCCACGCCGGGGGGGCTCTGGATGGGACCCTGCCCCACGGAGCTGCGGGGATCCTCTGTGCCCCCTTAGCGGGCAGAGGGTCTGGGGAGAGAGGGGGACCCCCACCACGCTGCCACGGGGACGGAGAGGGGAGGGTGTGCCCACATGGGCGCCCATGTTCAGCATCTTCTCCCCTCCCAGGCCCCCGGGCAAAGGGGGACAAGCCCCCCGTGAAGGAGCCGCGGGGCAAAGCCAAGGCGCACCCCCCGGAGCCCCCGCAGCAGGAGCACGACTTCCTGGGCTGCATGTCCAAGTAGGTGCTCTGGGACCTGCTGGACGTGGCACAGCAGATCCCCCCCAGCCCCAATTCCCAGCCCGTGCCCTGCCATAAACTCGTGCCTCCTCTTTGGCGGGGGGTGGTGGGGTGCTACAGGCGCTCGGGCCTTCCTCGCTGGATCCTGGCCGCCTGCCTCTTCCTCTCCATCATGGTGATGCTGTGGCTCAGCTGTGCCAGCCTGGTGACCGCCCCCGAGCAGCACGTCAAGACCCAGGTATGGGTGAGCGCAGCCCCCAGGGTGTCAGGGACAGCTGGCACGGCTGGGTGGGCATTGCCGTGCCCCGTTACACCGTGTGGGGTGTGAGGTGCACCCACAGCCAGCCCCAGCGTGTCCCCAAGCTGCACCCCGTCCTGGGGCTGCACTCTTGTCTCTGCCTGTCTTCCAGCCTCTGAGCATCAACGGGGACAAGGAGTACCTGGAGGACCTGGGTGGCCCCGGCGCCTTCCCCCTGCCGCCCGTCATCACCGTCACCCTGTGCCCCGCGCACGGCGGGGACGACGCGGGGCCGCTGCCCCTCAAAGTCGACCTGGACAAGACCATCCTGTAGCGCTCCCGCCCCTTCCACCGCCTCCTCCGACCCCTCACCATCCCCACGGCATCGCCCCCGGCCCCGCCCGGCTCCCCGCGCCCCCCGCTCCCGGACGGGCACCTCCCGCTCCCCTCCCGGGCACGGCCGCTCTGGGCAGGCTCCGGGAGCGGGCAGCGGCTCTGCCTCCCCCAGGGATGTGCCGAGAGCCGGGATCCCGGCTCGCAGGGCCGAGAGCGGAGCTGCCGGAGCGGGGAGGCCGGAGGGAGCCCGGCCCCGGAGCGGGACTCTGCCTCCTCCCGCCCGGAGCCGCCGGGGCCCCGCAGCCCTCCGGGCACGGCTCCAGCGCTGGGCAGGAGGGAGCCGGCTGCGGTGGGGGATGGAGAGTGTCTGCAGCCTTCTGAGCTTTGGCTCGGCACATCCCCGGCCTCCCACCTTGGGCTGAGCCTCCGAGGCGCCGGCCCCGGCCCTGGGAACTCCCTTCCGCCGGCCGGAGCCGATTGCCTCGGGGAGCCGAAACGTGGCGAATGGATTTGGCGTTGGCAGCCGGAGACGGGAGCGGATCCCGCCGCCTCCGTGCCCACGCCAGCACCCGGCCAGCCCCTTCCCGGAGCTGTGCAGGGGCCCTGGCATGGCTCCTTGCCCTCCCTGCCCCGTGATGCCCTCGGGGAGATGGCCCTGGTGCCAACAAGCAGGGGATGAGGCGGCGTTTCCCTGACTCCGAGCTCGGACAGGAGGTGGGAGCTGCTGGGACGGCTCCATCCCGGGCTCGGCATCCCGTAGGGATGGCTCCATCCCGGGCTCGGCATCCCGTAGGGATGGCTCCATCCCGGGCTCAGCACGCCTGCCCCGTGCTGGAGCAGCCTGCGGGGCTGTAGCTGAGGCACGGCCGTCTCTGTGTCCCTGGGCTCACAGCGCTGCCCTCAAAGTGGGCGGTGGGCCCAAGCACGGCTCCCCTCGGCTCACCTGGCCCAGCCCCTGGCCATGGAGGTGCCTCCCCGCTCCCCGTGTCCCCCCATCCTGCACCACTCGATCTCATGCATCGTTCCGTGGTTTGATTCGCACCAGCACGGGGCTCCTCGCGCCCCACGGGGACACCCCTGTGCCGGTCCCGCCACCCCCGTGTCACCTAACGCGTCTGTACAGATTAACTTATTACCCCCGACCCTCCCCCGGGTGTTCGGGCTCTCTCTGTGCGCCGGCGGCTGCCGGGGGCCGTGGCGTGGTGGGGCCGGGGGCTCTCATCCCCCTCCACGCCGGTTTTGTGCCGCTCTGTGTCACTTCCACCCATCCAACATATCTGGCTTTGGGGAACCGGGTTGGGGGGAGGCGTGGGGGGGTCTCGTGTCCGTTTTGGGGTCCACTTTTCGTTGTTGCTTTCCGGCCGCGTGTGAAGCTCGGTGGAGTCTTTGATGTTCCAGCCACGGCAGCTCCCCCGATCCCCGGGCAGCAGCTCCGGGCCGTGGCGGAGCCCTCCCGGCCCCGGCGGAGCCCTCCCGGCCTCGCCTCCGAAGGGCAAACCCAGCCCTGAGCTGCGAGGGGGAGTACAATAAAAGGTTTGTACCAGAGCTGGGCGAGTCGGTGGCTTCGTGGGGCGCTGGTCCCGGGATGGGAGCGGGTCTGATCCCCCACGCGGGGCCGGCAGGAGGGCGCGGGGCTGTTCCCGTTCTGGAAACTGAGCTGGGATGAAACCTCTGGCAAACCAGAGAGAAATCCCTGCTGGGCTGTTTGGCATGGGCACAGAACAAAGCTCCTCTCTGCTGCTGGGCTGAGAGATTCAGCATGGAGAGCAGGGGGAGATGCCGTGGGGCAAGCCCCCCAAAGCACCCCCCTGCGAGCTGCAAGGAGGGGCTGCAGCCTCAGGGAGGGCTCCGTGCTCGTGGAAGCCTTGGGGAACGAGGGCTGTTCTCACTGAAAACACCCGTGGGCACCGTTTTGAGGAGGAAAAGTGTGAATCAGGCCGGGCTGATGTCACCCCCGGTGTCACACACACAGCACTGGGGGGCTGGCGTGTCCCACCTTTCCTTTCCCCGCGGCGCGTGTTTGTCCTGGCGCCGTGCCCGCGGCACAGCCGAGCTCTCCGGTGCCAGGCACGGCAGGCCGGCTCACGCGAGGGGCTGGAGCCTCGTCTGCAGCACTTCAGTAGCTCAGCAGGGTCCCCAGCTCGGAGCCAGCGGCGGCGGGGGGCCCCCGAGGAGCCCCCGTTCGCCCCGGGACGCGGAGCCAGGGCTGCGGAGGTGCCGGGGATGGATGCCGGCGTGCTTGGCAGCAGTCACGGCCAAGGAAGGCTCTCCAAAGGCCTGCTCTGCTCCCTGCCAGGAGCACGTCCCTGCCTGTCCCTCCGTGGGGGTGCGGTGTCACCCCTGGCCGTGCTGGGGAGCGCGGCCCAGCGCTGGCACCGCGGGGACAGGAGGGGCTGTCCCTAAATGGAGCGCAGAGGGATGGCGTTCCCAGCTCGGGGGAGGATGCTCGGGCAGCCTCGGCCCTGTGGGGCTGGCATGGCAGGCACTGCGGGCGCCATGGCCACGTTTCCCAGCCCACAATGGGATTTGGGGTGTCCTCAGCAGCGCCTCGGGATGGGAGGCAGGAAAAGAGGGAAGGGCTGGGGGATGCAGCACGGAGCAGCTTTTGAGGGGGGCACAATGAGATGACTCCCCCCGGCCAGGCCCAGGCCACCGAGTGCCCCTCAGAGGGCAGGACACCCCCAGGGGGTGTCTTTGTGCTGAATTTTCACAGGGGCTGGTGCTGGGGGAGGCCCCAGATCAGTGCAGACAGCTGGCAAAGCCAGCCCAGCACGGGCAGAGCCCCGAGCGTGTCCCCTCCTGGGATGGGAGCGGGCTGCAGACCGTGGACAAGCTCCTCGTCTTTAAACTGGAGTCAGATTCCTCACTGCTGGCTCGGGGGCAGGAAGCTGTGCCCAGGAGCAGGTGAGGAGGGACCCCACTCTAACAAGAAGGAGACGCATGAAATTCGCTGGTTCCACTCCCCCCAGCAGGCAGCCAGGCCTTTTCCACCCGACGCCTTTTCCTTCTCGCTCCCTCTTTCATTTCTTCACAGGGGAAGGGAAATTCGTGGTGTGTGGCCGTGGAACCACCCTCCAGCCCCTGGTGGTGGTGGTGAGGGCATGGGGGCACCCAGAGCCTTGGGGTGAGCATTTGTGTGCCCACGTTCACACCCATGTGTCCATCACCGTGTCCTTGTGTCCATCCTCCTGTCCTCGTGTCCTTGTGTCCATCCTCCCACCCTCGCGCTCACCCTGATGTCCTTGTGTCCACACTCACCTTTATGTCCACACACCCTCGTGTCCACACTCACCCCTGTGTGTCCACGTGTCCAACCACAGCTCCACAACTAATCCCACATGCGTCTCTGGCAAGAAGTCGCCTCAAAAAGTGGGAAAAATCCAGCAAATTCCCCCTGCACTTCCACCACAGATCCCTGTGGCCTCTCCCCCCTTGGCTGTGGCTCGGTCTCCGTGCCAGCAGTGGGTGCTGAGGGTTGTGGGGGTCTCACCAGCTGTAATCAGGGTCAGCAGCCCCCCTGGCTGCTCTTGGTGGCTGCACTGGGCTGCTGTTGTCCCCTCCAGAAAATCTCAGCTGCTGGGAGCTGGCCTGGCTCCACCAGGCTCACACAAAGCTGGGCCAGGCACGGATTTCCCTCCCTCTGCCATCTGCTCCCCAGCGTGCCTTTGTCCCTGTTTCTCACCCCGTCCCCCCAGGAGCACTCACAGCTCCTTGTCCCGGAGCCCTGGGGTGCTCCCCCAGGATGTCTCTGCTCTGGGGGAGCACTGGGGTCCCTGGCATGCCTCAGAGGGCAGAAATCCCAGGACTGGGTCAGCAGGGAGGAGGAGTCCATGTGCCAATCCCCCTTCTGATGGTTTGGGACCAATGATCCCCTTCCCTCATCCCAGGGACATTCTGCAGGACGCCAAGAGATCAGGCAGGTTTCTAACTCCTGTCTTGTAGGAGGAAGGGGGTGCTGGCTCTCATTCTTCCGTGAGAGTCGCAGGTTTGGAGCTGCAGGGCTCCTGGAGGTGATGGAAGCAGAGCCTGGGCTCCTCTCTCACATGGGAAAGGATATTTTCCAGCAGCTCCAGCTGCCTCTCCCTGCTCCTGGCCCAGCTCCTGGCAGCACAAAGCTGCAATCCCGAATTCCTGACCAACACTCAGAGCTGTAAATTCACTTTTAACCCCAATGGAGATAAATCCCCATCCAGGGACGGAGCAAGGATGAGGAGGTGAGATGAAGAGCTGGGCAAGGGCTCAAAGCACCTTTCTGGCCCCACGTGTGGAGCTGAGCCCTTTCCCTTACAAATTCTCCTTTGAATTGTGCCTGGAGCCACCACAAAGCCCACCAGGCCTTCAGAGATGGAAACCCCAGGGAGCTGCTGGCGCTGGGCAGGGCAGCACCATGCCAGGGATGGGAAAACACATCCAGGGCTCTCCCCTGCCCGTCCTCGTCCCGTGACCTACCCACCGAGCCGGAGCCACGGGCCATTCAACAGCAACAAACCCAAGGAAAAACAATCTCCTCGTGCTAATGGGATTGGTTCTGTCCCTACCACGCACATTCCAGCCCGGCTCGAGGGACCCCTCGGGGGGCGGGGGGGGGATAATGAAGCCAAATTATTCCTCGTCTTCAAATGTCAGAGCTGAGCGCGGTGCCGCCGGCCGGGCCTGGCGCAGCTGCTGGCCTGGCGCTGCCACGGGGACGTGCAGCACCCTCGGAGCTCAGCCAGCCACAGGCATTTTCCATCGCCTGGCCCTCGTTGCTCCTTGGAACGCCGCGAGGGGCTCCTTCGAGTGTTCTCCTGCCAGGTGAGGAGCGCAGCCAAGCTGGTGGGGGAGCTGGGCTTTGATGGGACGGAGGGGAAGCAGGCTCCCGATGGGCTGGGGGTGCTGCAGCACCTGGAGCCTCCCTGCTTTTGGGGGATGGCACGTGCTGGACACGGAGGGGACCTGCGGGGTTGTGGCCGTGGTGCCAGTGGAGCTGGAATGGGCAACGGCGCCAGCTGAGAGGGAGCCAGCCCCGAGGGGTCAGCTCTCCGTGTGGGACTGGAGGAGCCCAAGATTCCTCCAGAAGGTGTTGATCCTTCCCCCAGGGCAGACCCACGTGCTCTGTGCTCGTGTCCTGCAGTGGCACAGGGCATGGCACTGCCACACTCCGCGTTCCATCCCTGGCACCGCTGCTCCACAGGGTGGGGGGCACGGCCTGGGGTGGGCACCCAGCCAGAGAACCAGGCTGGCTCCGTCCTGGCACAGAGGGGATGCTGCTGTCCCCGTGTTCTGTGCTGGTTGTGTTGGGTTGTCTCTGAAATTGGGGAATTTGGGACTGGTGGGGCTCGGCTGCACCCCAGGATGGTGGGAGCCCACAGAGCTCCTCCCGAGGGACCCTGGTATCCCACATCCCTGGGAGTCCCACATCCCTGAGGGTCCCATGTCCCTGAGGGTCCCATGTCCCTGAGGGCCTCACATCTCTGAGGGTACCACATGCCTGAGGGTCTCACATCTCTGAGGGTCCCCCATCCCAGGGGGTCTCACATCTCTGAGGGTACCACATGCCTGAGGGTCTCACATCCCTGAGGGTCTCACATCCCTGGGGGTCCCACATCCCTGGGGGTCCCACATCCTGGCCTGGTGGCCACTCTCCACCATGGAATTCTCCCTCTGCCGTGGTGGAGCTGCAGGGGGAAGGAGGGGCTGATCCCCCTCTGCCAGCCCACAGCAGATCAAACATCTCCTGGGGAAACGCATCCAGGATAAAAGGGACAGGGGAAAGGCTGGAGCATCCTGCTGGCACAGCAGACACCCCCCGGCTCTGCTTCCCCGGGCTCTCACTCTGTCAGGATTACCAGGGATTAGCAGGGAGCAGTGGAGCAGAAAGCCAGAGGGAATAAAAGCAGGGAGAAGCACTGGCACTGAGAAACCCCGGCACACCCTCCGGGCAGGCAGGAGGCAGAGCTGGGACATCACCAGGGAAGAGACAGGGAGGTCACGGCAGCCTCCTCCACAACAAGGGAAAATAAAGCAGCCAAAAATGTAACAAGAATTGGGAAAAAAAACTCCTGTGCTGGGAAAAAAATCTAACAAAAATTGGAAAAAAAATCCCTGGATGCTGGTGCTGGGAGCTGCGAGGAATTCCTGCTCCTGAGCAGATGAAATGAGGTCTGAGGGAGAGGCAGAGCTGCCAGCTCATGATTTTGTCATGACTCTCCCAGTGTTGGCTGTGGATTTTAAAGTCCAGCTGTGGGAGCCGTGGGATACACAAGAGCTTGGCTTGCAGCAAAAGGTACATGGAGAGACCTCATGTTTTGCAAGGGGAAAAACAAACCAAAAAAAAGGTGAAAATATGACTCAAATAGATCCTGAAGGCTTGAAATCAAGATCAGAAAGAAGAAGAGTGTAAATAGTTTGGAGTTTATTTATTTTTTGTTGTTTTTAACCCAGTCCAGCTAGAGTTGGGATTTTCCAGGCAGACCACTGCTCTCCACAGTAGGAATTCCAGGCCTGCCTGGACGTACTGAGTGCACAGGATAAATATATTACAGTTGTGTGAGTTGCTGGGATTG